TTCTAACTCTGCTTTGGCAGTTTAGACAGAGCTTATTGGAGTTTAATAGAAAAAAAAATACTCTCATTTGAAAACTATGCAGTAGTGATATGTGAAAGCAAGAAAATTTGAACCAACGTGAAATATTTTCATTGAAGACAAGTAACCTTGTTATGTGCAAGTAATTTCAGAACATTCTAGCCTTATGGCTGTTGTTTAAAATAAATGAAAATACTTTTGCAGCAGAAAAAGCCAAACCAAAAAGTTTCAGTTTAATCTATTTTTTATTTCAACTCCCTGGTAGAACCTGGAGTATCAGTTCTGCACTTGATTTAGCTTTTAATCCACAAAGCTGTCCAATACACAGGTAGGTAGAAGAGTGCCTTGGTCCAGTGCCCCCATCCTGCATTAACTGTGGCACCAGCGCTCCAGCATCCCTGTCACCACTGAAGCATGCCTGACTCTCCCTGTTGGACCAGCTCCCTGCTCTGCACAGCACAAATACTCATCTGAGGGCTGCGAATTCAGTCTTAGACTGGCAAAAGGACTGAGCCCTCTTCTCAGCCTCATCCAGCTGGTCCAGCGCTCTCCCCCATTTCCCCAGGTCTATATGGGTAGCCCACAGGTCAACACTGATGCTGCTCTGTCTTCAGTCCAACCTCAGTTACATACAGCATCTTAGTTCCTTTCCTGCATCCCTGGCAGTTCCTGAAAAGTCACATACCCAGCCTCCATCCTACAGGCAGTTCCTGAAGATTTGCCACCACCCTTCTGCTTATCTCTCACATGTGGTAATCAGGTTCAAATAGGCGGCATCTGCTCTGTCATAAGGATGCTGTACTTAATAAATTACTTATTTAGCTTAGGGAGCCTAAAGCTACCACTAAAGTACTAAAGGAGTCATGTGAACTATTGTTAAAAGCTGTGGTAGTCACACAGATACAACATGTTTCTGGAGGCCTGAATTGATACTTTCAGTGGGTTTCTTCATGTGCTTCAAGTCGAACAAGATTGCAGGATTTGGTTCTGTATTTGTTAGATAAGAACTCGCAAAAGGAAATTCAGTATCATGGAGGGAATAATCTGAGAATGTACAGAAATAGGCCCATGTTTTTTATTATAAACGGTGTAGTACAGAGTTATACTTCAGAAGAATTATTTCTAACAACACTAATTCATTTCAAGGATGTCCTAGTTCTGCACTTGTGTGAATGGGAGCTGTCAGTAAGACATTTTCTTTGAAAAACAGTCATGAATGCTTACTTTTTCTTAAATAATCTTCTAAATGTTTAACCAAATACTACATGCACTTTGTAGAACTTGGGATGCCTTGTTTGTATTGTACAAAATAGAGAAGCCAAGGGAACATTGACTATCAGTCAGGGTTTCAGATTTCAATACATTCTAGTGAGTTCACAAGCTTTACTGTTTGTGGGATTGCTTAGTAACATTTCTATACAGTACAAAATATAGGCACATTAACTTTTTCAATTGACCCACACACACGCAATTTGTAGCATCCTGTGGGAATGATTTTCGTACTCTCTGGTTATTTCTGGCATCACATCTGGCATTATACTGGTTATATTTTCTGTCTCACTCGCATGGAATTGCAAAATATGTAACCGAAGAGATAGCATTTTGAAACCTAAAACTATGCATTCATTAGAAGGTTAAATAGACAGTAATCCACCAGGTGCTCAGAATCTTTCCATATAGCTGCTTATTGTCCACATCACCTCTCTCCGGTCTTGTAATCTAGCTCAGGCTGTTTCCACGCAACATAAAAGAAGGAAATGAAAATCAATGATTTTGGCGGAGTGATTAATAGCCAAGACTGATTGCTAGACCCTTACTGAGTATGTATTTTAAAACCCTGAATAGTTGCCTGAAGGTACTTAGAAGGATTTTTCGAGTCCCTGCTATTTTTAATCCAAGACATAAAGTACTGGAAGTATGGACTTTCTTGGAAGCTATACTTTCAAAGTAGACCTGTACACATTTTATGAAGAGACAACTATCTGCCTTCTATATATGTATTTTAGTATTTTATGATGAGAGAACTACATCTTCCTGTTTCTTCTCTTTTTTTTTTTTTGATTATTGTTATTTTATTCTTCTATTTTAAGCATAAAAAGCACAGTCAGGACTCCTTAGTTTTCAGTCCACACATACAGTTAATTCATGGTATTCATAGCACTCACATGCAAATAACTTATGGCTTTGATTTCTTCATGAGTAAATTTTCAGTAAGTCTAGTTCAGACATTTTGAGGATTCTTCGGCTTTTTGAGTACATTACTAACATGTCTTGGAAGCCTGACACTTTTGCTAAGCATTGCATAAAAGACAAATTTAATGTATTTCAAGACACAGTCTGCACAAAAGAACAGGGCTATTGAACAGTCAGTGGGAAATGGCACAACTACAAAACTACAGAATTAAAGATAATGGGACTAGAAAAGACTAAAGACAGTCGTCTCCTTGCCCTGGGGCAGGATCAATCAGACTTCAAACATCCCCAATAGTCAATTGTCTAACCTATTTTTTAAAAGGAAATAAAAGCCACTGAGGCAATTTCTTACAGTGTTTAACAATCTTTACAATCCTGAGATTGCTTCTGCTTTTCTTTTTTTTTTTTTCTCCTTTTCTCTTTCTCCAATGTCAAAACTAAGTCTCTGTCACTATAATGCATGATTTACTGACACCTCATCCTATTCCTAGCATATAGGACAGCCATATCATTGTGCATCAACCTTTTATCTATTGGAAGGATGTTACTTTATGTTTTCTCACAGTTTCTTTTTGTCTTTAACTTCTTTAAGGTCCTTCTGTAAAGGCTGAGGGTTTCTGACACCCCTTTCATTCCCAAACTGCATGATACTCATTGATCGCTCACATATTGCTGAACTTGTACATATCTTTTTCTGGAATATAGGATCAAAAGCTGAAGCATTGATCCAGTTTAGGTCCTGCTGGGGCACAGTACAGAAATAATGAAGCCAATTAATGTCATTTTGCAAACTGCGCTTTCAAAGTAATGCTCGGTTAGTTAATTCATGACAGTGACCCACACAGGTTAGGGCTGTCCTATCACTTTAATGAATGGAGAGATTATAGAGAGATTAAGATTTTAAGATTAGACCTTTTTATTTTTTTTTAATGAGATACTCATCTTTTTTGAAGAGTCAGTGATCTTCTATTTAAGAAACATTTTATTTTGTATTTGTTCTTTCCTGAGTTTACTGGGTCCTGAGAGTGATCTTCATTGGAAGTCCAACAGTAAAATACTAATACTAAAGTACTAATACTCATAGTTTTGATATGTAAGAGCTTATTTTGAATATAATTTATATTTGATATTTGCTGTTTTGCAGGTACCTATGGAAGGTATCTGGTTAGGATCTGAACAATGAGTAAAAAATAAAAGTTAGATTTTGATAACAAAGAAAGAGAAGAATCTAGAATAATACACTCTAAGACCCTAAGCCTCAAGCAGATTTCGGCATTTTGATGTAACTTTTAAAAGATTGTTAATCTCTGTTTTTTTCTAAGTCTGTTTTAGAAAAACACTATATCAATTCCTTTTTTTTTTCTACAGAAATAGAAATCAGTACCTGAAGTGATCAGTAAAAGTGAATATCACTAAAGATACTTACTTCCTCTATATAGAAATATATACATAATGTCTTACTGTATACCTGTGTAAGATAGGTATAGATAACAGAAAGAAAGGAAGAAGTAAGAAAACATATAGAAAGTATACAAGGAGGGAGTGAAAAATACAAAAACAAAAGGAAAGGAAGATGAGTAAGAATATACAAGTAGTGTCAGTACATTTGTGTAACTGATTATTTTGAACAAACAGGGGTGAAGTCCACTGATGCTGAAACATAGCAAGGAAGTGATGTTGTTTATATAGTTTCAGTATAGTTATATAGTTTCAGCAAAGACAACTCTAAACCTAAATCAAAAATTCCTGATATGGAAATAATCAATGATATATAATCTAAGAGTTAAGGCAAAGTCCTCCTCTCACTTAGACCAAAGAGAAACTATCATTGATTTCTAAGTAAGGAAAATTGGCCCTTGCATTTGAAAATGAAATCAATTTTAAGACTTTTTATATTAGTTCAAATATAGAATTTAGCTACCTAAATATTGGTGTTCATTTATCTTCAGATTGAATACATGCTTCTGAAGATAGTTGTTAAGATAGTCTTTTTAAATCACTTATGCCTTTCGATGTGACTATGGTGTAGTTTTCAGGTTCGTTTCCCAAGTATAACATGGCCTGGCCGCTTCTCAACACTGCTTCGAAGCAAACTCCAGGATTTTAATGTCCTTTTATTCATGCACTTTACTTTTCATAGGAAAAAAAAAGGTATAACTGCACATCCTGTATGGTTGCTATGGGTCACTTTAACCTAGTGCCCATCTAAGTGCCAGAAGGACTATGCCTCAATTTAATTGTGGCACATAATAGGAGCTGACAATAGACTGCTTCTTTTCCTGTAGTGAGATTTTAGCTGTATAAAATCCTAGGGAATGCATAATTTACAGTAGTTTTGAAGGGTTTGGGTAAGTACCATTTATCCATCACAAAAAAAAGCAAGTAAAATGAATATGTTTCTTTTCTTTCTTTCTTTCTTTCTTTCTTTCTTTCTTTCTTTCTTTCTTTCTTTCTTTCTTTCTTTCTTTCTTTCTTTCTTTCTTTCTTTCTTTTCTTTCTTTCTTTCTTTCTTTCTTTCTTTCTTTCTTTCTTTCTTTCTTTCTCTCTCTCTCTCTCTCTCTCTCTCTCTCTCTCTCTCTTTCTCTCTCTCTTTCTCCCTTTCTCTCTTTCACTCTTTCTTTTGGGATTTCAGTCACATAAAGTAATTTGCAAGGTGTGTCTCTCCATATGGTATAGCAATACATTCTTATTGTAGTTTTCAGCTCCTTTTAAGGTCTGTCTTTCCCATAGACAGAAGTCAGGACAAGGTACTGATTTTGTTTGTGGGAAAAAATAAATCTTCCATTCACAAGTGAAGCAATGCATATAGTACTTTGATACATTCCTTTCCATCCATCCCCCTTTAGGTATCCGCCATCCTTGGACTTTTCTCCTTGCCTTGATGCATTTCCAATTTCCAAAGATAAAGATGCTAAACCATGGTCATAAGTCATCTGTGGCATCGTGGGCAGAAGTTGACAGAGTTATGTAGGAAATGAACTTGTGCTGTCATGAAGCCTTCACTAAAATATACACTTTTTAATTAAAAAAAAAAAAACAACTCCATAACAGGATCAGTTTCAGAAGAGATTTGCTTAGAAGAATGGCAAAGTTGTGTTTGCTGAGAATTCTTTGCAGTTCCACTTACCATATTTTTCCTACTCAGAGACAGATTTGATCAGAAGTATTTATCATGCCTTAGAACACTACAGAATGATTTTATCCAGAATGGCTGCTGCATAGAAAGCAAATTATCTTACAGTTCTTAACACTGTGCGCTATATATCATTTAGAATAATGCACAGTAAAATGAAAAATAATGGTTTAGGTCAGGTCCCATTGAAGATAATGGCAAAACTTGCATTAAATTTAGGAAGAGTGAGATCTGATTGTTTGAACGAACAGAAAAAGTCACATACACTAGCTCACTCCTTGACAGAATCTAATTTCTCTGTGTTCATTTGTTGTCAGACGTAGCTTATTTTAGGCCCCAATTCAGCAAATAAATAAGCAACCTTCATCAGTAAAGCACTTCAAAATGTACTTCTAATGCATTCTAGAGCAGAGACAGATTACTGGATCAGCATTATGAAAATAAACAGCCAGATTTTTTCTCATTACAAATGCACACAATTTAAAGTTGGAAAATACAAGATCAAATCTAGCCCTATGTCTTTTCAGATTTATGGTTTAAGATCATATACAAAGAGGAACATGATTAATCAATAAGGATAAACGCTTCGTCAAGAGTAAGATTACATACATAATTTATTTTCATTGAAAAGAATGGCAATTTGCAAATTACAGAAACAAAATGGAAGGACTGATTGAAAGGATTACAAAAAAGCTACAAAGTGGTGGTAATGTGTTTCGTTCTAACATGCAAATGGAAGGGAATATTGCTGGAAGTACAGCTGTAGTAATAATAAAAAAAAGTGGCGTGCTTTTCTATTTGTTGCTTTACCAACCAACACAACTTTATTTTTTCTAATTGTTGAATCGTTTACCACATACATATTCAGTGCTCTATACATGTCTTTCTTCTTTTTTTAAAAAAGATAATATTATTGGATTTTTTTCCTTTTTACCTAGAACCTTAGATTTGATAGATTATGTTTATTGAGGACTTTGTCTAAAAAAAGATATATTATTTCAAAATATGTAAATCGCTTGGTGTATTAGCTGCAAAAATGTAACCACTGGTTAGTTTGTGCAAAAAGATTGTCCAATATAAAAAAAAAAAAGTTGCTGTGTACAGCATTTTCATACATTACTTATTGGTCACTTTATTTTATATTTCCTTAATTTCTTGAGTTTCTTTATTTCTTTTTTTTTGATTGTTTACAAAATTTTATACCAGTATAGAGGAAAATGTTTGTTTCTGTTACAGTCTCATCTTATTAATAAGACAGAGCACTGTCTTTTTTAGTTTCCAGTTTGGACTGGCTCATATTTCTTAATGGGACTGTTGGTTGATATTGCCCTAGAATATTCATTTCCCCCAACAGAGAATATAGTTCTGACTGTAATTCTCTGCATGGCATAGGGGACTTGTTTCAAACATCATGTATCATCAGTACCAAAGCCTGATACTCAGTGATCTTCAGTCCGTATTTCTGAAATACAGAGCTGAATTTTTATGAAATGGAGATGGAGGTAGTTCATTAGTTCTAAAACTTTAAGTTATTACATAATTATAGCAATGGTTCCATAAATATTACATGTGATTCAATGAATATATGAAATATCTATAATGAAAATAATAAAAAACAGCTTTGAAAGCATGGAGTACAAATAAAAATTCAAACAAGACTTTTGAAATGTTATGTATTAATATGATTCAGTCTGTTACCTCTATTCATGTGGAGCAGTAGCTGATTCCAATAGGAGTGCAATTAATACCGATGTTTCAGATTAGGTTTGTATGAGGCTTATTAAAACATAACATAACAACACATTATTCTTCTGTCCATTCAGGCAACATGGAAAAATATGTTTCACCATCTTGTTTAAACATAGTTGTTTTGTAGTGTAAACCAAGCCTAAAGAGGCTTTAAGTAAATTAGGATATAGTAAATTTAGAGGCATGCAAGGTAATTCCTCTATGACAAGAGGATCACAAGTGTTATATTATACAAGGTTTGTGAGTCTTACTGACCTGGGGGCTTGTAAGGACCATACAGAACATAAAAGTAACTTCAGGGATGTGCCATCTGTGAAACAGTATCGATGTGGATTTTTTTTTTCATTATGTTATAAGGAAATCTACTTTAACAGCAATGGGGAATTACACATTTTGAAGGGGAAATATGATTGAGGAGGTTCTTTTCCTTTTCTAAAGTCTAAGTTTATATGATCCTGTTAGAGATGAAAAAAGATCCATCTTTGTTTTAAGGTGTTGCATATTTCAAGAAACTACTTCTAGTATTAATGATTTATTTAATATTAATGTAGGCATTGGAATGCTAAATTTCAGTATCCATATTGTAAATGTGCCATTCTAGTCATAATAAATTCATCCCTGTCGCTAGCCATTGTTGGTTGTAAAAATGAGGTGAGACTCTGGTGTCCTTCTCAAAGCATTTATGCTAATAAAATTCATCAATATACCTGATTAAGTCTTTCACAGACACTCTACAGCCAGTAGCTTATTTATGTGGACAATTTCTGCTTTGACATTCAGCCTCCAAAATAAATAAAGATACAGAAGGCCAGTGTGTAACACAAACCTGTTTGGTCTCCTTTTCGAGAAAGAAAAATGCACACAGATAGAAGAAATTGCTGCAAAGAGTGTCCTGTCAAATGATATGCAACACTAGCACGCAGGACTTGTGTAACTAGTAAACTTACAGTTTATAATCAAAAGCTGCTGAATATACAAGATATTCCTAGTTTATTCAAAGGTGTGAGCAGCTTGCAAATTAAGATTATGCAGTTTAGCAGATTTATGTTTTCAGGAAAAACAATGAAAACTTTTTCATTTTTTTTCTCACCTATAATAACATTATGCAGTCTCTAAAGCATGCAGAATACTGCTTTATTTTCAGAAATGCAGTGAATCCTCAGTATAATTACAATAGGAAAAAGACATTTGCAAATGCATTGCTCCAGCGTGGTCAGGAAGATTTAGGCCATATGAAATGAACCACAGTTCTAGCCCACACAGGCTCTGGAATCTGCACAGCATTTCTCAGCAGACCCAGTACCCATCTCCTTTAAAAGCTGGCTCCTTTGAACACCCTTTTTTTCCCCCCTCTCTTATTTTCTAGTTTCTTGAATCTCATTAATGAATCTCATGGCTATTTATTAAAGTTTGCTTGCTTCATAAATAGAACTGATCCCGAAAGGTGGATTTGGAAGAAAGTAATCTGGTTTACAGTTACTGACTGCTTTCAGAAAAAGTCTTTCTCATTTTTAGTGCCGAACGGGGGCATAAATTGGGAGAGAAGATTATTTGAGACAAGATATTCATATACAGAAATGTTTGCAAGCTCGAGCCCCATTTTAGCAACAGCCATATAAATATTTATCTGAGTGATCTCATTGTATTCAGTGGGATTTCCACTGTGTATATCTTGGTACTTGAGTGTAAAGATGGGTCTTGATCTTGAAAAGAGTTGTGCATCAGATGATTGATTCTGTATTAGGTAAGTAGCTCCGTTGTCTTGATAGAACTATTCTGTGCAGTGAATGGGCATGAAACACATTATAGGAAAAGCCTATCAAATGCACACATATGCAAGCTGAGAAAAAAGATTTCTAATGTTCCCTAGTTTCACTACATTTAGATAATGCTTGAAACAGGACTAATTAAAATAATTTCCTGTCAAAACAGACTTTTCCAGTCTTTGGATATTTTCCAACACACTCATGAAAAGCAGATATCTCTTGGCTATCTTTATTCTCATTAATTTGGGTCATGGTTAAGAGTTACTGTGTGACACTTCATAAATTGAATATGATTTTTGTAATACGCTATTTTTTCATTGGGTCCAAAAGACTCATTACAGATTGTGGGGTTTAGTAATAACTTATTATTACTATTTATTCAGTTTCCATTGCACCAGTGTAGAAGAGGAGCAAGTGGAGTTGTAGTAATACAACTGAGTAGCAATATGAAGACAGGGAAGGCTTCTCTCGGACATCCAGCAGCCACTAGACCATCAGAGGTTTTCTGCCCCATATCACTGGTCTCCACTCACCCAAAGGACTTACTGAGAGGCGTGATTCCAAGTTATTTCCAAGTTATTTTCTTCTTTCCAGTAAAACCTAGCAAGAGAAGCCAGGAGCTGCAAATGGAGATGAGACACATGAACGTGGTTAAGGCGGCCCTGGTTATTGCTGACAAATTGATGGAACTGCTTCTATTTGTCTCCAGGAAGCGGCAGGTCTCTGACTGTTCCCTTTGGCCTATTTTGCCTCTTGCTGGTATATCACCATGTGGTGCAGACAGGCCACCTCTTCTGCTTTTTGCTCAGTGCATTTCATGTTCCCCATACTGGTGGTGTTTTACAGCTGTTATCTCCACAGCTTGACTAGCACTGCCAGGTTGCAGGAGATGCTAGCTCTCCAGGCTGCTCTGCCACAGCAGCACCTAGACACGCATACTGTCTGCCAGTTTATAGGTGCCTACGAAATGGACATAGACTGGCTAGCTCAGTTTCCACTGGCTAGCTTGAGGACTGGAAGACTATCATCTTTTTTTTATCCGGTCAGCATGATTAGCCAACCCCCTAGAGCAATTCTTTGGCTAGTGACTCTGCTTTTTTATAGAAGACGGAATAAGAAATGAATTAAAATCTGTTGTGGTTTTACTGTAAGTCCAGTATATTTATTTTTCCTCATAGGGAGTGCGAAACCTAGCTCACGAAGGACTTTTTCAAAGCTCGGACGTTGAGCAGGAGGAAATGCCTGTGTGTGAAGCAGAAACAGAAACAGCAGGTGTGCTGCAGGTGAGGACGCCTACCCGCCTCAGGCAGGCAAAGGATTCCTACCGAGAAGGAAACCAAAGCCAACCAGGAAACAAACAGAAATATTCAAGCTGTCCACGTCGGAGGCAGCTTCGTTAATCATTACCGAGATGGACTGTTCAGAAGTTCACGGTTGATCACACCACAGAAACCTGCTTGGGGCAGGAAAACACCCATCACAAGCAGTAAGGAATGAGAAGACTCCCGGATCAGGTTTTCTGAATGTGGGGTTTTTTTTTTTTTTGGCGGGGGGAGAAAAGGATCCGTAATCTTCTGTTCCAAGACCTCAGGCCAAACACAGTTCTTTTGTTGCTTTCCTGTCCAGAAGAGGAAGTGAGAAATTCCCTGCACATGTGCTGTAGTGCCCAAACACTCAGGTTTCACTCTTGAATCAGGAGCTGCCTGTAATGAGCTCCCCGCGGGGCTTGGAGAGAAGGTTCAACTGGGACAGGAGTTGTTTCATTTTGTGCCAAAGGAAGAGGGGAGGAAGAAATCCGACAAAGAACTAAAATGTTGATGGAGCAAAAAATTGCCTAAGGCTATTGCAACTGGTAAAAGTGAACGGAAAGAAGAAACAGAGGAAGGCACCAAGAAACAGAGCGGCAGGATGGGAAACTTCTGTCGGAAGCATTGCGTCTGCTTGACACCCTGTGTGCCTTGCATATTCTCAGGGGCAGAAGATAGGCCGGATCCGAAGGGCGTCCTCGTCATCACCAACCCTGGTGTGGTAGAAGACGTCTTCCAAACAGTGCATAAAGATGGAGACAAGATAAAAGAGAAACCTTTGCCGCCGCTACCCGAGCAGCATCTGGTGAATGTTTGCAGATTTGTTGCGCTTTTTGACTATGAGGCTCGCACTGACGAGGACTTGAGCTTCCAGGCTGGGGATAAGCTTCAAGTGTTGGATGCTTCCCATGAAGGTTGGTGGTACGCTAGGCTCCTCCTGCCAAAGGGGTCGGTCTCTCCGGGCCGCAAGCTCCAGGGCTACATCCCTGCCAACTACGTAGCTGCTGATCAGAGCATTGAAGCAGAACCGTAAGTAACCTGGGTAACATGCAGTGGAGTCTCTCCTCCTTTAGTTTAAGCTGCTTTGGAGCAGACTGTTGTGGTCTTTTCTATTGCTGAGAAGGACCTTGTCACACTTGGTCTCCTTGCTTTCAAGTGGTCCTACCAGTGATAGAGGAAACCAGCATGCACAAGGAGAAGACAATGTAGTCCCAGCAAATCAGTTGTAAGAGACAAAGTGTGGAGGTTTTTGTTTGGGTTTAAATTATTTCCCTCTCTGTTATGTCCTGGTTGCTTGGTAAAGAAGTATCTGGGAATAACGAGTTGGTCACCACTCTGAGGGCTCATTGTGGTTGTCGGTATTAACAGTAAATGTGTGTCAGATGCTTTTCAGAAAGTGAAAAGAAACAACCTCTGCCCTAAACAGCCTATACTCTAACAGCTGTGCTGTCCATTAGTTAAGACTTCTAGAAACCTACCTTTATACCCGTGGATTCTTGTTACAAATGAGTGTCTAAAATTTAACTTAATTTACTATGGTTTCCACTGAATCATTTCTTATCTGTAGCTAAGAACAAAGACCAGAACAAAGTTAACTGGAGTAAGCACTGCAAAGGAGAAAAAAGAGCGAATATAGCAAAGGAGTGCAAATTAGACTTGTTAAAGTTTCACAGAGTTTAATTACGCAGCCCATGTTTGTCCACTTCTTCAAAGCACATCTGATTTTGTACCTAACATTCAGAACTGGACTACATCACATGAAATCCAGAAATCACATGAAATAAATTACTTACCCACTAGAGAGGGTGAGTAAGGAGTGAGTCAGTCTGGGTTGCAGTTACTCGTGTGTGTTGCAATCATCGGCAGTATTTGCTACCAAAGCAGCAACTAAAGCTCTTAAGTATGTGCCTGGAAAATTGTCAATGTGGAAAGCGACAACAGAAATAGCATTCTTAGTTTTCAGAATTAGTTTTGACTAGAAAGTGTGTATATTTCTTAACTCATCATATCCAATGATTTACTTGAAACTTGAGAGGAATGATGTTGCAGCTTTTCCGCTAAGGCTCCTTTGGACCAGAAAAGTCATCTCTGATCTGATCCTCCCACTATATTTTCTAGGACTAGGAAAATGGGCTAAGATAGGATTATGCCAGGCCTTTAGCAGCTCTAAGATTTGTGCTTGAGGCATCTTATGGCTACTGCAACCTGAAGACCTTAATTTCCAGAAACTGATCGCCTGTTTCTATTTCTCTGTTCAGGCAGACAACATTTTCAACAGTCATTTTCAGGAGAATTCTTCCAATTGCAGAAATTAATCTGCAGGGAAGGTGGTTTTCTGAACCACTGGAGAAATGGTGGTAGGCTATAATTCAGCTCAGTTTGACCTTCGCTCTCTGTCAAGAACCTAGTTTTCTCAACAAGTCATCTAAAATTGCTGGTAATACTGTGAAAGTAACTTTACTCAGTTATACAATAAAGTCTCACAATGCAGCTTGTAGAATCCCTCTTACTTTTCTAGATTTTCAGCATCAGATATGGAGTTAACTTGGCCAAAGTGCATTACTGTGTAATCCCTGATTTTTTATTTTCTTTTTATAGAAAAAAAAATCTTTTAGTCTTTATGTATCTTTCCCTTTTTTTTTTTTTTTTTAGCAAAGATTAAGTTTGGGCAACAGATTTTTGCTTATAGATTTTTAGAATAGTAGAGCAATGGGAAGCTTTCACAGATCTCAAATTCATTCATTTCTCTAAAAGTTTGATGTTCCCTTACCATAATACTGAAACTAATCTGGCTAAACATGTAGTCTTTTCTCACGTACTTGGATTTCTTGCTACATTAGTTGGCCTTGTTAACTTTCGACAAAAATAAATATATCAGATCGCTGCTTGCATCAGGCTACAGAGATATCCTTTCATATAATCATAGCCTGACTTAGGTTGAAAAGAATATCTGAAAGTCACTCACACCAGCTCCCCCAACTCAAAGTGTAGTCAACATAAAGTTAGACCGGTTGCTTAAGGCTGTGTCAACCTTTTCACTCTCACAGTAAGATTTTTTTTCCCTATATCCAATCAGAATTTTGTTTGCAACAATTTCCTCTAAAACTTTACCCTCACTTCTGTTCCACCTTTCAGATACCATATCACTCACAGGGAGGAGGAATTTATGAAATTAACAGTTATCCCCCTTTTTTTCTTTTTTTGATTTTTATCTTTTAAAATTAGTATTTATAAGTGAGCTAGGCAAGATGAACACAGAATAACTCTGCAAATCCCCTCTTTGCATTGGTACTGCAGAACACTCTAAAGTTCAGGCAGGGCCAGTCTTCAAAAAAAAGAACAAAACAAAACGAAAAATCAAGAAGAAATTATTTCTCCTGTTATATCCTTGTTCACAGCTCAGTGTTAAAATATGAAAATTACTCATATCAATCTGACTTGCACAGTGGCAGTTGTAGGGGGAAAAGTAGCCTTTGATCTTTCCTGGATATGCTGAGATACCCTCACATGTTCTTGATAGATGATCATGCACACAGATGTGGAAAGTGTATTTTTTATTGATTTCTTATGTACTTTTAAATAACCTCAGATTTATGCATTAAGGCCAGCAAGTGGACCTCTCTTGAAGCAAAATATTTTTTCCAAAATGCAGCCACCATTAACATTTTGGCTCTTTGATTCATAGTATCAGTCTTAGAAAGCTTGGGAAGAAAGCCAAACTGTATGATTTGCAATCTTTTTAGTAGCTGACTTTAGCATGATTTTGTGTGTATATAGATATAGATATATAGTTTGCATATACATATATATAATTATGTATAAATTATATGTGTATATATATGTATACACACATATAAACTATATCAATCAATATCAACTTTTGAAAAGATTGAAATTCATATGCATGCATCTAAAGAAACAGAGGACATGAAATATTCTGTAAGTCATGAGAATGACTCAAGGCTCAGTATGGAAGTTTAGCCAACATATTCTTGAGAGGTGCAATCAAAACCATCAAAGTTCTTTTGCTAAACATTTGATTGCCTCGTAGCCCTCATGATTATAAAAGAAAAATTTTAGCTGGTGCTTTTTATCAACATCTTGTCATGATCTGTATTGTAGACCCAATTAGAGATTGGTAAATCCATGCTGCTCTGTGTTCGCCTTCTTGACAGAAGGTATTACTAGATAATGGCATCTTCTGTCCAAGTAAGTGCCTCAGCAGTCAATTTTGTCTGTCTCTCTCTGAAATATCTGTAAATTTTTTCTGAGAGAAAGGCTTTTGAACTTTTCTTCAGTAAGAAAAGTTCTTCAGCAAGAAACTTTGCTATCTTGTCTCCATTTAGATAATTTTTTTGCTTTTGGAAGTTACCTTGCTTTCACTCCATCCAGTATGACTGAGGTAGTGCTGGCAAGACAGAACGGAAAGTGGATGAAAGGGAAGAAAGGATCTTTAATAGCTCCACTTTTGTGGGAGAAAAGTCTTATATAACAAAGGAAATTTTCATGCATTTTCTCTATCAGAATGTTAAAGCGAAACTGATAAAGGATGATATTTCTTACCTATGTTTCTTTCCTCAGACTATTTCCGCCAGTTATTCAGAGAAATTTTATGTAGAGACGTACATATTGTAGATCACTAATATCTTCATTTATAACAAGCATATATCAAAAGTCAAACCCCTACTATTTGTGCATGGAATCTCATTTAAAGTTTCTCTTGCTTCCTTCTTTTGGCTTGAGTAATCCCTTCTAATGTGAACAACTCCAATGAAATCAGGCTCACTCCATATGAATTGGGGAAGAGTAGAAAGGATAACTCAGTGGTTTTTATTCTGCCTGCCACAGTGTACAGGCATTTCAGGGAAGTAACCGAGCCTGCAGTCTAAATGTGTAAGGTTAATTACATAATACGTAAGATTAAATACATCCAAGAAAGGCCCAGCTTCTACCACAAAGGATATTTTAGTCAGGCTCAGGAATCAAGGCCCTTCATTTTTATATTTACCAGTAAAGTGTCTTCCCATAGCTAATCTCTTGTAGCACCTGCAGTACTCCTTATTTTAACAACATCCTGCACAGTGGAGGTTGTACCTGGTGTCTCCAGGGACAGGTGTGTTCTGGCTGTACCTGCACTACCTGGGGCAAGGAAAGCCAGTGAGCCCCAGCCAAAAAGCACTGGTCATGCAAACCACAGCTGCAGGTAGTGTGCTTGCCCAAGGAACTTTCTCCTCAGGAAGAACTGAATCCACAACTACATAAATATGTTTTTACTTTTCTCAGTCTGCATGAAAACTGAGGGTCGCCTATGTTAATGAGAGATTAGCTGCTATAAGAGCACTTAGCACTTCATTTCTGTGTATGTCATAGCTAGTTGTCAAAATCACAGTCCAGGAAGACATTTTTCATAACCATGTAAGTTTCATAGGATCACAGAATCATAGAATCATTATACTTGGAAAAGACCTTCAAAATCAACACCATGCCTCCTAAACCATGTCCCTAATGCCCCTGACCTACACGTTTCTTAAACACTGCCAGAAAGGGCAATTCCACCACTTCCCTGGGCAGCCTGTTCCAATGCTCGACTACTCTTTCCATGTAGAAATTCTTCCTGATGTCGAACCTGAAACTCCCCTGGCGCAACTTGAGGCCATTTCCTCTTGTTCTATCTGTAGTTATTCTGGAGAAGGGATCGACCCCCGCGTCACTACAACTTTCTTTCAGGTATTTGTAGAGAACAGCAAGGCCTCCTCTGAGTCTCCTCTTCTCCAGACTAAATAACGCCAGCCCCCTCAGCCACTCCTCGTAAGGTCTGTGCTCCAGCCCCTTTACCAGCTTCGTTTCTTTTCTCTGGACACACTCCACAATCTCCATGTCCTTCTTGTAGTGAAGGGCCCAGCTGAGGTTACATCTGCCGCATCCGATGGCTTGTCAATGCCCCCACTTCTGGATTTAAAAACATCTCATTTGGTAAAAGGGAAAATTAAAACACAACTGGAGATACAGTCATATATTTTAAGTTGAAT